TGTGTGTGTGTGTGTGTGTGTGTGTGTGTGTGTGTGTGTGTGTGTGTACCCATGTGTGTGTGTGTGTGTGTGTGTGTGTGTGTGTGTATTTTTTTCTTTTGTAGGGTTTTGCCATGTTGCCCAGGCTGGCCTCAAAATCCTGGGTACAAGTGATCTGCCCACCTTGGCCTCCCAAAGTGCTAGGATTACAGGTATGAGCCACTGTGCTTAGCTGGAAAGATATTCTTTATAGAATTACCACATATTATAGTGTCTACAACATCCATATGAAAATGCCAGATTAATAGATGCCAAAATAACTGTAGTTACTATCAGGAGGCAGGATTACTGATTATCTTGATTTCTGTGTTCAAATTTTCTAAAGTTTCTGTAATGAAGATATTTAAAAAAAAATATTTAAAAAAATATACCACAGCTGGCACAGTGGCTCACAGCTATACCAGCAACTCAGGAGGCTGAGGCAGGAGGATTGCTAAAGGCCAGGAGTTCCAGACCAGTTTAGACAACACAGTGAGAGACTGTCTCTGAAAAAGTAAAAAACTTAGCCAGGCATGATGATGTACACTTGTAGTCCCAGCTATGGAGGACGCTGAGGCAGGAGGATCACTTGAGCCCATGGCTCTACTGCACTACTGCACTCCAGCCTAGGAGACAGAGAGAGATCCCAACTCTAAAATAAATAAGTAAAATAAATAAAAAAAATACACACAAAAGAATAAGAGCCTATTTGACAATGTAATATTCAGTTAAAAGGAAATGGAAGAAAGTAGCCTTGATGTGTTCTTCAATAACCTGTTTCCAATTATGAAGTCCCTTCCCTTTTACTATGCACCACCTCCCCCAAGATAAAGCCTAGGGAAGATGTATCTTCAATACAAAAGTACTTGTAAAAAAAATGCTTTTCAAGAATGCAGCTAGAAAAACAACTCTCCTCTTAATCATAAATTTGATTCATCTTGACAATAATGTTGCTATGAAGTTGGGGAAAAAGAGCTTGTTTTGAGCTTCCTGATCTCTAAAAAAAAAAAAGTAATACATTTACATGGTAAACGATTCAAACTGTTCAAACTGATATATAAAGTATTTCTAGCCTAACCCAGACACTTAGTCCTCTTCTCAGAAGCAATAATTGTTAGCCAGTTTCTTACATATTCTTCCAGGAATGTTTTATGACTCTACAAAGGAAATATATGCAGGCATTTTTTTAAAACAGATGGCAGCATACTATATGCATTCTTTTTGCACTATACTTTTTCTGATTTTTTTAAAGGCAAATTTTTAAGTGACATCTACATAAGGCAAGCCTTATTTAAGTTATTTCATTAAATTAAAAGTTACTAAAACATTTTATAATAGTTCATGAAATTTAAAACATAAAAACTGCCACCCACCTTTTCCGGTGTTAACTTCATAAGTTCCATATTTTCCATACTATGCCGGCGTCCCAACTTGGGGCGTACACCTTTGTGTAAAAAAAAATCAATTCAGATAAACCAGGGAGCCCTTAAGAGTACAAGTTCAGCATTATTACATCATTCAATTCTAAAGTCTGATACACAAACCCATATCAAAGGAGAAAACATGTACAAATATGTATTCTTCTAAGAGTAATAATTTTCCATTCCAGCTACACAAAAACAGTATATACACTCCCCTCTAAAATGCTTTGATGTAAGGAAGTTACATTTTGGTTGGAAACTCTCACTGGTTACTAAATTACCCTTTACTTTGAAAAACGCATTTTATAACAACTGGTTTTATACTATCCACATAGTTTCAAAAATAACAAACTGTAGAGTAGTTTACTCATTATAACATAAGGAAAAGGCTGTAGGCCTTCAATTGTGTGAAAAGAATCAAACTAGCACCCCCACTACTACTCTTGTTACTCCTTTCTAAGTTACCCCTTTCCATTTAAAGATCTCATTAGAGGACAGACTTACTACCTGTCAGAAAACAAGTAAACAAGACTTCAAATTTTTTTCAGTAAAGTTATTAGAGAATTTCCATATCCATTCAATCTTTTAAAATATTAAGCAGTATTTTAAAAGGCATAAGAAACACCTAATACTCAGCTTAAAAAATGAAACATTATGAACACATTAAACTCCCCTTGTGTAACTCCCCTAATAATTTCCCGTCTTTCCTGCACTTTTATACATTTTCATTACAAATATTCTCTTAGCAATACAGCATTTGTGGGTTTTGAAACATTTATAAATGGTATCATACTATATGTATTCTGCAACTAGCTTTGAGAAGTCTTATGTTTGTGAGATTCATCCAAGTTATATGTATACCTTAATTCATTTTCATTGCCTTTTTAGGCAAAGGTTTTATAATAACTGGTTTATACCATCCACACAGTCTCAAAAATAACAGACTGTACAGCGGACTAGGAAATTATCCATTTTACTAGTGACAGATATTTAGGTTGCTTCCAACTTTTTGCTATGACAAACAATACTACAGATACTCTTGGAAATGTCTCTCAGTGTACATGAACGAGCATTTCTTCTAGTTTGGTGGATATCAGGAGTATGTAACTGGGAGTGGAACAGGAGTGGAACAGCTGGATCATACAGTTGGATCATTGAACAGTACACAAATAGCTCATAAATATATGAGAAGATATTTGACATCTCATCAGCAAAAATCATACTGAAGTACTATTAGAAACCTATGAGGTGAACAAAAATAACTACCAGTATTAAAATGATGTGCAGTAACTTCACCAGAATGGTGCTGAATTGTACTTCACAGTATACCAATTTCTATCCCATCAATACCACATAAGAGTTTCCATTACCCCACATCATTTTAATACTGGTAGTAATTTTTGTTCATCTCATAGGTTTCCAATGGTACTCCACTGTGATTTTTGCTGATGAGATGAAGCTAAATGTCTTCTCATATATTTATGGGCTATTTGTGTATTGTTTGTTACCATATTGGCCAAGCTGGTCTTGAACTCCTGACCTCCAATAATCTGCCCATCTTTGACTCCCAAAGTGTTGGAATTACATGCATAAGCCACCATGCCTGGCCAGTCCCTGACCTCTTTTTTGAGAAGGGGTCTTGCTTTGTTGTCCAGGCTGGAGTACAGTGGCACAATCACAGCTCATTGCAGCTTTGACTTCTTGGGCTAAGCGATCCTGCCACCTCAGCTTACCAAGTAGCTGGGACTACCGGCATGCAACACCACATCCAACTTATTTTTGATACAGACAGGGGTCTCCCTATGCCACCCAGGCTGGTCTTGACTCCTGGATGCAAGCAATCCTTTCCTTTTTTTTTTTTTTGGAGACAGAGTCTCACTCTGTTACCCAGGCTGGAGTGCAGTGGTATGATCTTGGCTCCCTGCAAACTCTGCCTCCTGGGTTCAAGAGGTTCTCCTGCCTCAGCCTCTTCAGTAGCTGGGATTACAGGTGCCTGCCACCATGCTCAGCTAACTTTTGTATCTTAAGTAGAGATGGGGATCTCACCATGTTGGCTGTGATCCACCTGCCTTGGCCTCCCAAAGTGCTGGGATTACAAAGGTGACCCACTATACTCAGCCGACCTTCTTCATTTCTAGTAAGACCTTTTGCCTTAAAGTACTTTTTAATCTGATATTAACACGCTATACTGGCTGTCTTTTGGTTAGTTTTGCATGATGAATCTTCTATCCTTTTACTTTCAGGCTTATTTTATATATATATATATATATATATAT